CGGTGCAGCAGTTCAGCCCGGGACGGCTCGGAGGCTGGGTCACCTGCCGCGCCTGCTGGGCCGCCTGGCCCGTCTCATCAAGGAGGCTGTCTGGGTGAGTGCCCCCAACCGCCGTTCAGCCCCATCTGCGCCCCAAGTCCTTTCCCCAGTGTCCCCTCGCCACCTCGAACCTTAGTTTCGTAGTTGGGCAGGACGAAACTACATCTCCCATGATACCCCAGGAGGGGGCTTGGGCTAGGGCCCCCATGGATGCTGGGAGTTGTGGATCCATCCACAGGCTGTACAGTAGTACCTAAATTTGCAGCTGTGGGATTATGGAGGAAACCATTCTGGGAGACGGGTAGAGGGGAAGAGTTCCCATTGGATGAAAAGTTGAAAGAGACCATTGTGAGAAGTAAGGTGGGCCCTGACCATAGTGGGCGAGACCATTCTTGCAAGCGAGGAAGAACAAACCTATGGACCAACAGATGAAAGTGCCAGGAAGAAGCCATTCATGGGGGTGGCAGAGGTGGTGGGGGAGGTTCCATCCTACTGAGCTAGAGCCTAGTTAGAGAAAAGGTTTAAGAAGTTTTGGGGTGGGGAAAAAGAAACTCCATTTGACTAGAAGCGGACCTAAAGGGAGGTAGACCACTCATAATCATAGGGGTGCGTGTTTTAAAAGGTGAGAGGAGGATTGACTGTTCTGAAGCTTGGGGATTAGAGTCCATTTGAAAAGTGGGGACAGTCTTTGTCAAAAAGGAAAACCCAGGGCATTAACCCATAGGCCTCGTTTCCTCAACCCCCTCACCTTAATTCTGATCTTACTGTTCCACAGGAAAAGATTAAGGAAATTGGAGACCGCCAGCCAGAGAAGTAAGAGAAACTCTGGGGAGAAGGGTCTGGAGGGATGTACGGGTCAGGCTTTGCATCCAGTTCTCTGTTCACATTTCCATGCATGTCTTAGTGCAAGCTTCTTGAGTCCTTGGGACTCAACTTTTCTAGTTGTGAAATGAGAGTTGGACTCTGTCCCCAGTTAGACCCAGATCTCGGGGTTTGGACATTATGGTGGAGGTTGGGCAAGATTTACAGGTCCCTTCCTCCTTTCCTAGCCACCCTGAGGGGGTTCCTGAGGTGCCCTTGACCCCTGAGGCCGTGTCTGTGGAGCTGCGGCCACTCATGCTGTGGATGGCAAACACCACGGAGCTGCTGAGCTTTGTGCAGGAGAAGGTGCTAGAGATGGAGAAGGAGGCCGACCAGGAGGGTGAGATCTGACCCAGGCCCATGCTCAACCAAGCCTCCTGCCATTCCCTGCACCTGGGGACCTGGGCTTCTGCCTGCCAGCCTCTGGTTCTCCCTCTCACTCCTAGGTCTGTCCTCAGACCCACAGCTCTGCAATGACTTGGAATTATGCGACGAAGCCATGGCCCTCCTGGATGAGGTCATCATGTGTACCTTCCAGCAGTCTGTCTACTACCTCACCAAGGTTGGCCTTGACACCTGCTTCCTGTTTAGCATAACATAACTTCCTGTTTGAACTATATCACATTGCTCTGATGTCACTTCCCATGTGACCTCGTAAGATTTCCTGCTTCTCTGACATCACCTCCCATTTCACTCCAGCACCTTGCTGTTCTGATACCACTTCCTGTTTGAGTTTACATCACTTCCTGCCTTTCTGACTTCTCTTTCTGTCTTTGTAACCATACCATCTTGGCTGACTTCACTGTCTGGTTATATCACAATTACCACTTTCTCAAGTTGCTGTTTTCTAAGTCCACTCTTGAGTCACTGATAAGTTTGATAGATAGGTAGACAGATAGATTTTGATGGATCAAATAGTACTAGGTACCGTCATTTAAACAAAGTCTCTTTAATCAGGCTACACTTCTTGTGTTTGTTGACCTCACTTCCTATAGCTCTGAGTTCATTCCCTTTTCTGAGCCACAGACCTTTTCTCCCTGGAATGCGCATCCTGCAGGACTTGCTTTCTGCCCCAGTCCCCCACCACTTCCCTTGAGCTTAATATTGCTTCTTGGAACTCTCAGGGTTTCTGGTTTCTGGTTTCTGGTGGGCCTGATTCCCTATCTGTAAAATAAAAAGGAATCTTTGGGGACAGATAGTCTCTATGTTCCTTGATCAGCCTTGATTTGTGAAGCCCTCTCCTCCAAGGCTTCACTTCCTGTACATCCCTGCCAAGGGTAGCTTTATTTCTTCTTTGGCTCTGACCTCATTTCCTGTCCTTGGCCTGATCTCACTTTCCACTGGCTAACTGCCACCCCACTCCCACTTCCTGACTCTCCATTCTTTTCCTTTCCTTTGGGAATTCTGGATGAATAATTATTTGATTGAAGGGAGCCTCTTTGTTCAAGGTCCTTTGTCCTACTTGAGCTTTCCCTGTTGAGAACTACAAGTCCTGTAAGGCATCAGAGATGGTCTTAAGATACCCAAGAGACTTCTGGAAAGCCCTTAAGATTTGAGGTGTCCCTGGCCTGATGAATGCTAAAACCTATCTGGAAAGTAGGGATTTGCTCATGGAGACCTTTAGGGTGTTGAAAGTAGATGGACTACAATTCCCAGAAGCCTTTTGTGGAGCTCCCCAGTATCTTCATACTCTACTACCCTGAAGCTTCCAGGGAGTTGTAGTCTGATCACTTGTTTGCATCTCTGTATCTCCTCAGACTCTATATTCAACGCTGCCTGCTCTCCTGGATAGCAATCCTTTCACAGCTGGGGCAGAGCTGCCGGGGCCTGGCGCAGAGCTGGGGGCCATGCCTCCGGGGTTGAGACCTACCCTGGGCGTGTTCCAGGCAGCCCTGGAACTGACTAGCCAGTGCGAGCTGCACCCGGACCTTGTGTCTCAGACTTTCGGCTACTTGTTCTTCTTCTCCAATGCGTCCCTTCTCAACTCGCTGATGGAACGAGGTGAGGGTCAGACTGGAAAAGGACTGGAAGCAGAGATGGGAGCCACTGAGATCTATTCAATTCAGACACACCACAGGCTCAGGGTACATATTTAGGGACTCTGGAGAGCAAGCTCTAGATCCCAAGCTGAAGGATAGGAAAGGTCTGGGTGGCAGGAGAGCAAGATCCCCTATACACCTGTTGCTTCTCATTCCCTTCCCCTACAGGTCAAGGCCGACCTTTCTATCAGTGGTCTCGAGCTGTCCAAATCCGAACCAACCTGGATCTTGTCTTGGACTGGCTGCAGGGGGCTGGGCTGGGCGACATCGCCACCGAATTCTTCCGGAAACTCTCCATGGCTGTGAACCTGCTCTGTGTGCCCCGCACCTCCCTGCTCAAGGTGACTCCTGAACCCTGACCTCTGACTCCCCAACCCCACTCAGCCATCCTCTGTACATTCAGCTCACCCTTGGATTGCTCCTTGGACTCCATGTTCTCCACAGTCCCAGCTCAGACACCATAGGTGATGCATTAGCAGCTGGAAGGAAGCCAGGGACATCAATGTCCAAACTTGGCTGCATCTAAATCCCAGTGGGACTTATAAATAATAATAGCTCCCTCCCTCAGACCTGCTGATTCAGGAAGTCTGGTATGGGACCAAGGAATGTGACAGCTAAAACATTCATTGTATATAAACTATATGCCAGACACTGTGTTGGGTTTTTTTTTAAGTGTAATTAAAATTTTTATAATTAAAATTTTTTACTTTTTTAAAAAATGGAAGTACTGGGTATTGAACCCTGGACCTCATGCACGCTAAGCAGGCACTCTACCACTGAGCTATAACCTCCCCACTAGGCATTGTGTTTAGCCCTTCTCATTGAGCGCTGACTAAGCCCCGTGAAGTAGGTTATTATAATAACGAATACCTATGTACACAATAATATAAACTAATAGTCAGTTTGCTTCTTCCTCACCTTTGCCTTCTCCTGCCTCCTTATGCATTCTAAAGCAAAGCACATTTTTCTTTTTTAAAACTGAGAGTGTACCCTTTCCCACCATCACTTTGGTGACAACTAGGCCTCACAGTGCCTGAAAGACATCACACAGACACCACTGCTACCTACTACATCTACACTCTCTGTGGAGGGCCTTCCACTTCGGATTTCTCAGCTGCCCCATAATGATCATAGATTTCTCACCTCATCTTTCCACCAGGCTTCATGGAGCAGCCTACGAACTGACCACCCGACACTGACCCCTGCTCAGCTCCACCATCTGCTCAGCCACTACCAGCTGGGTCCTGGCCGCGGTCCTCCACCTGCTTGGGATCCTCCCCCTGCAGAGAGAGATGCTGTGGACACAGGTGAAGAGAAATGGGGACAGAGGCATCAGGGCTGTCAGCTTTCTTCTGTCCTTGGGACCTAGGAATCCATAGCCCCAGCTCCTTCTTTCTGATCCAGGATTCTGGACCCCTAGCCCTCTCCTCCCCCAGGTGCTAAGTGCTGGATCCCAGGATATAGGATTCTCCCCCAAGATACAGGAGTTTAAGTTCCCAGCTCCTTTTTCTGAGGGGTTCAGGCCCCCAGCCTCCCCCACAAACTACGCCCCTCACCTAAGTCCGGGTTCCAGGCCCCTTCACTCTAAGGAATCCGTAAAACGAACTTCCCAGCCCTTCTTCCTTCCTCTCGGACCCAAGAACCCAACTGCATCGCCCGTTTCCCAGGCAACGATGGCCTTTCATAGTCTGAACTACAACTCCCATGATGCTTGGGGACTCCAAGAGTAGCGTTTGAGGGGATCCTGCTCCAGAAGTTGCGAGAGGGTTACGTTTTTCCTACTTTCGGGAGTGGCGCAACCTAGGCTCTCCCCGACACTACTGCCTCCTGCCCGTTTGCAGAATTTAACTCTGTGTTCTTCGGTTTCATAGGAGACATCTTTGAAAGCTTCTCCTCCCATCCTCCCCTCATCCTGCCCTTGGGCAGCTCGCGCCTTTGCCTCACGGGCCCAGTGACGGACGACGCCCTCCACCGTGAACTGCGCAGGCTCCGCCGTCTCCTCTGGGATCTCGAGCAGCAGGAACTGCCGGCCAATCACCGCCATGGACCTCCTGTAGCCACGCCTCCTTGAAAAACCAATAGCAAACGAGCGCGCGAACCTTGAAAATTCATCTACTAGAGCCCGCCCGAGCGCAGAGCTTTCTGGGAGTTGTAGGTTTTTCCCGGCATGGAATGCTGGGAGTTTGAGTTTTCGGGTAATATAGGATGGGACCTTGGGAAGTTGGGTTTAGGACTTGAGTGCCAGAAGCAATAAAGGTATCTGTGGTATTGGCAACGCCTCACTTGTTAAGACTCGGGAGCAGTAGTGATGATGATTTTCTTCGGAATAAGGCATCAGGGCCCTTGGCTGGAGCGTTGGGCTCCTGCCGAGTCCGCTAAGGTATTTATAGCCACGGCCTCAGCTTGCCCTCTCGCATGTAATCCAACCCAGGAACACTGGGGCCTCCCACGCATATTAGGACAGAACTCTCGACTTGTTCTAACAAAGATCAGACCCTTAGTCCTGCAAGTGGGAAACAGCCATCGCTCCCTTCGACCCCAAAAGTCCATAGTCCAGTCTCTTCCCTCAGACCCAGGAATCTGGATTCCCAAGCCCCTTCTGGACCTTCCTGCCTGTCGGACACACTGATGAGCCTCAACATTCTTGTTCCTATTCTGGAATCACTCTTCCCTCACATCCATAATTACGTGCCCCCAGCCCCCTCCTCCCTCAGACCTAGGAGTCGGGGGCTCCAGTTTGAACTTTTCATCCTCCTGAATCTGACTCCCGCTGCTGCGTCAGGGAAAAAGTAAGCGACAGGTGCCACCTGCCTGCAGGGCTGGGGCGCGACCACCTGCCGCTGCTGCTCACCCTGCGCCCCTCTCCTGGCACCTGTTTCTGTCAATCTGTCCACCACTGCCCTGTCCGACCCTGCAGCCCCAGGACTCGGAGGAGGAGCGAGCTAGGGAACCCCGACGCCCGCCCCGCCCCAGGCCCTCCCATCCCGTGCTCCCGCCCCTTCTCGGGGTGCTAGGAGGGGGCTCCTGTCTCCCCCGCCCGCCTCCACCGCTCCAGACACGCCCCCAAAAGGGGGGGTCCGAGGCGATCCAAGGCTGGTGAGGCGGAGCCTGCGGCCTCCAGCCTAGACCGCTGAACTCAACCCGCTCCAGAGCACAGCTGCGCAGAGCCCACCTGGTGAGAGGCCCCTGGGGTGAGGGGGTGGTGGGAGGGGAACCCGCCTTAACTCTTCTGTCACCTCTCTGATCCAAGTCCCTTCCCCACAGACCACGGTGGCTGACACCCACCAACACCCTTCTCAAATGCAGGTGACAGAACCCCTTCTACTCCCCAGGGACATATCGGGTCCCCTTCCCCCTCTTGATCAAGGCTATTGGATTCTAGGCCCCTCAAAAGAATATTGAGTTACTGCCCTTCGACCCCTTTTCCTTCCTCTCCTTTCATAGACACTGCGTCCAGGCCCCCATGCCTGCCTTCTTAGAATCCGAGATTCCCAGACCCCAGGTCCTTCCTACCCCTTGGTTCCTCCTCCCTCAGACCCAGGAGTCTTGGTCCCCAGCCCCCTGTTCTCTCACAACCAGGAGTCTTGGCCCCCAGTGCCCTCCACCCCGCCAAGATCCAGAGGCCCAAGGCTCTCCCATCTCAAAGTTCCACAGGCCCTTTCCCTGCTGTGTTCACCTGCAGGGCCGCCTCCTGACCTCCACTCTGACCCTGCCTCCTGTGGTGGCCCTGCTCTCCCCCAAGTCCAGATCCCCCTCCCAGGCTTGGCAATGACTCTGGCGGCTTCCTCCCAGCGATCCCAAATCATTCGCTCCAAGTTCCGATCTGGTGAGAAGCTTCTCTGTGCATGTAGGGCAGGGATCCTCCCTGTCCTGAGACAATATTCTGACTCTGGGAGTGCGCACCGCGGAGTGAGTGGGAGGAGGGCGGCGGCACCCAGGAGGCATGTATTTTCTGTGCAAAAGATCACTCGTGCATGGAGGCACCAGCAAAGGGGTCAAGTTGTGGTGGACAGTGAGGGTGCAAATGGCTAGTGAAGTGCTCACATAACATTAGGGAGTGGGCGGCTCAGGGTGGGTGTGCTGAGGATCACGGACCGCAAAAGAAGGGGGGCTTAAACTGACATGTGCATAGTGGGGACTTAAGCGTGCCCAGCATGAAATTGTGGGCAAGGGTCCCCACAAGCCTTGAAAGGGTCAAAGGTTGCATTTCAGGTCCCAGTGCAGGTGGAAAGTGTGCCAGTAAGTTCACCTGGAGGTCAAGTCCTGAGGCGACAGAGGGTACTCGAGTGTGTAAATGAGCGTGCTTACGTGATTGGGTGGGTGCCAAGACACTAGGAACCAAAAGCCAGGAGTTTTCAAAAGTGTACGAATACAAAGAGCAGAAAAGTACAAAGAGCAGAAAAGTGCAAAGAGGGATCCTTGCTCTGGAACTGGGGGCCCAAATCCTGAATGTGCAAATAAGTGTGTGCATGTAGCTGGGTATGTGCCAAGACCTTGAGCCAAGGACGAAGAGGGGCGAAGGGTCCAAGTGCACCAAAGTGGTGTAGGTGCAAAACTAGAGCCCAGAAAAACGCGTGTTTAAAGGTGGGTGTGCAAAGGGATGAAGGAGGGGAGGCCCAGAGGCAGCACAGAAGGGAGTGGGCGTGTGCAAAGCGGGGTGCGTGGATGGAAGGAGGCGAGGTATAAAGGCTAAGATGGCAATTTGTGTTGAGGCTGGGGTAGGCATAGCTTGTCAAGGGGGCAGGTGGAGCCGGGGGGCAGGGCTGCCTCCTGCCTGCATGCTGGCTGCCTCCGAGCCCCCAAACGGCTCCGGCCTTCAGGGCTGTGCTGGCAGGGAGCAGGCAGGAGGCCCGGGAAGGGAGCAGGCTGCCCGCCCACCCGCCTTCACGGGGTGTGCAAGGGGGCTGGGCACGCGTGTCCCGCCAACTGCAGCTCACAGCCGCCTGCCAGGCCAGGCTCTTGGACACTCCCTTCCCGCCTTTCTCCTCCCACCTCCCACCACAGTCCTCCAGCTTCGGATCCACAGACGGTATCAGGACTCAAGTAAGTGTGGGCCCAGAAAGGGAGGGAATGGTGGCCCCACTTCCCAGGGACACCCTGGAGTACAGCTACCAGCTGTGCTGCGCTGGTCCCAGACCCTCAGTCCCTATGCCCCAGGGTACACTGAAAGCCCATCCTGCCCTTCCCCGGGACCGGGAGTTCAGGTCCCCAGCCGCCCCACCCCTAGGACCTCTTTTCCTGCTCTTGGGCTTTTCCCACTCCAGTGAAGTGCATGAATCCAGATTCTGTTTCTTTGGAGAAGACAGGCATCCCAGACTCCACACTTGGCACACACACGAATCTCAGGATGTGGCTTTCAGCTTCTTTTCCCAAGAACCAGGAGTGCTGGCCCCACCCCTGTCCAAGTAAAACCCCAGAAATCTGTGATCCTCAGCCACCACACCACTTGGTGACCAAGGAGGTGATTCCTGCCTTTCTTGAGATTGTAAAAGTCTGGGTCCCTAGCACCTCCACCCTTAGATGCAGGAATTCAGACACCCAGCTCCCACCACTTGGGTTTCACTCCCCAGGCCTGCCCTCCTGCACACAGGGGCTGGGGCCTCCAGGGCCCTCCTTCCCACACAGCTTTGTTTCTCCCTGCCTGGCTTGCTGCCTGCAGGCCTCTCGGGGTCCTTCGCTGCCTCTCCAGTCTCGGATCCAGATCCGTGGATCTCAGCCTCAGGCCCGGCTGTGGCTCCAGTCCCAGCCTCACCCTCCGGCCCTGCCCCATTCCTCTTCAGCCCTGGAATCCTTCTCCCTGAGCCGGAATACAGCCCTTGGAGGTCCCTGAAGAAGGTAAGTCTCAATGGGAGTTCAGGGAAGTCCCCCTGAGAGTCTAGACTTGGTCTTCCTTGCTGCTGCCCTTCTTACTCCTCTCTGGTAATGCCAAGCTGACCTCATACTTTGCATGGGGTTCTGGGGGCAGGAAAGTGGGAAAGCAGCAGAAGCATATGACATCTTACCTGCTTTTTCAGGACTCTCCTAAGATCTCCAGACATTGGAGAGAGCCGAAGCCCAAGGGGAACCTGACGTACCACCAGTACATGCCCCCAGAGCCGAAACAAGGGTCCAGGGCAGACCCCCAGGCTGAAAGATCAGTCTTGAGTCCTCCTGGACCGCCTCTGTGGGAAGAGACAAACTCACAGCAGCCACTTTCTAGGTATGACCCCTGTTTTTGTTCTGGGAAGTTCAGTCCCCCCAGCCCCCTTCCAGGACACAAGAGTCCAGATCCCCAGCCCCTCTTCCTTCACTTCTCAGGAATCCTGACCTCACATCCAAGAGTCTGAGCCCCCAGTTCCTCTCCCGCGCACAGGAACTAGCCTCCTGTGTTTGCGCCCTCGGAGATCCAGAATTTGGGTCCCTCACCCTCCTGCATCTTCGTGAGTCCTTGTCTTTGGGGACTCCAGAATGTCTTTTCTCTCTCCTTCTAACCTCTGTTTCCCCCTCACAACTACCGCCAGGATGAAGCCCACTTCCCTCACTCCCTCCCCACCAGGAGTCCCCAGCCCCTCGCCCCCTCCACACAAATTGGAACTTCAGACCCTCAAACTGGAAGAGTTGACGGTAAGTTTGGGGAGTAACTTCCCAGGCTGGCCCTCTCCTTCAGTGGGGACCCAGAAGTCTAACCTTGCAGCCTCTATTCCATCGGACATCCAGGACCCGGGGTCCCCAGTCCCTCCTCTCTTGGTTTCCAAACGTCCAGCCCTGTCCCCTACCTCTCCCCTCGCCTGCACCCCGGAGCCCGGCCTAGCACGGCCTCTCCCCACTTCCCATCCCAGGTCTCAGAGCTCCGGCAGCAGCTGCGCCTGCGGGGCCTCCCGGTGTCCGGGACCAAGTCGATGCTCCTGGAGCGCATGCGTGGCGGCACCCCGCCCCGTGAGCGGCAGAAGCCGCGACGAGACGACAGTTCCGCAAATGCTCCCTGGCCTCGCTTCAGGCCCAAGGCTTTGGGAGCCACCCGGAGGCCGGGCTCGGTGAGGGCGAGGCTATGCGCGTGTGGACCAATGAGAAGACAAAGTGGGACGGGGCGGGAAATCGAGAAAAGACTAGCCAATAACTTGTGGAGGCGTGGTTAAGAGCAAAGTGGGAGGATCTTAAGGGAAGAGAAGCCAATGAAATAGAGGGCGAGGCCGAAGGGAGGTGTCGACGAGTGAAGGGCGGGGATGCGACAGGGGGGTGGAGTCATAGGTTGCGAGTGGGTGGGGTTGCTTCCCAGTGGGCGTGGCTTGTAGGAACGCCCTCTTCACTGTTCTAGTTCAAGCCTAGTCCAACATCTCACCCACCGCCTCCTCCACGTGCCGCGGAAACCCCTGTGACAGCTCCGGCTCCGGCTCCGGCTGCGACGACGGCTCCTGCTCCAGCTCCAGTGCCCACCCTTTCCTCAGCACCAGCTTCTGCAGCCCTGACACTGGAGGAGGAGCTGCAGGAAGCGATCCGCAGAGCGCAGGTGAGAGGGAGCGGGCTTAAGGTCTCAGTCAGGATCAGGCTGGAGTCCCAGGTTCACGCCGCTTCTGCTCGTCCGCAGTTGCTTCCGAACCGGGGCATCGATGACATCCTGGAGGATCAGGTGGAGCCTGAGGGTAAGAGCAACCTCCTGGATTTGGGGAGAAAGAAGGCCGAGGTTCTGGACTTCCGGGTCCAAGGGAGGAATAGTTTGGTATCTGGGCTCCTGAGTCCTAGGGAGGAGTGGGCTGGGGACCTAGACTCTTGGAATGGACAAATAGGGTGCTGGGGTCCGGACCTATGCCTTTCTAAGCTCACACTCCATTTTTCCCCTGCAGACCCGCTGCCCCCCATTCCCCTGGACTTCCCTGGCTCCTTCGATGTGCTGTCCCCCTCCCCGGACTCTGAAGGCCTCTCATCTGTCTTCTCTTCCTCGCTCCCGTCCCCAACGAACTCCCCATCCCGCTCTCCCAGGGGGCCCACGGACTCCTTGGATTGGCTGGAAGCTCTGAGTGGGGGTCCCCCGTTGGGCTGTGGCCCTCCAGCCCCCAGCATCTTCTCTGCTGACTTATCTGATTCAAGTGGCACCCGGCTTTGGGACCTGCTGCAGGATCCATGGTGATGGATTTTGGGGTTTCAGGGACTGTGAACTGGTGGGGATGGGGAGGTCAGAGAGATAGAGTCCCTGAGGGAAGGGTTGGAACAACCAGCAGAGCCCCTCCCACTGCAGACCCAAAATCAGAGACAACTCTCATCCCCACCTGGCCCCTGAACTGCTGCTGACATGCCAACCTCCTGACTTTTGTCTTTCTGACCTCCACTTGATCCCCTCCATGGTTGTGTGGTTGGGGGCAAGGAGGTGTCATTTGCTGCTGGCCAGGGCAAACACGCTGCTTGCTGCTTCCTTCAGAGACCATGTGGGTGTTTTTGTTTCCACCTTCACCCCCCCCACCCACCCCCGATCCCACCGACTAGATGGCTGCCTGTTGCTGGGGAATCTGGAAGGTGGTTTGTGCTTTTTGGATGCAGGAGACAGGCAAGAAAGAATGGGGAGAGAGAATAAGGAGCCAGATCCTTGAGAATAGGGAGCCAGACCCTTGACTTCTGATTGGAGATGAGAAAAATCAGATGCATCATATCTGAGCTCAGATTCTCTTGGAAGGAGACCCTGAGACAAGATTCATGTGTCCATAATTTATTAAAGACATGCTTCCAGGAGAAACCAATACAGGAACAGATGAAACACTACAGTGAAGAGGAAGAAGACCAGCAAGAGTGTGACTTCAGGTGAAGTCCAACCCCAGTCTGATCCCATGGGGAACTCTTGAAGGATAAATTAAGTTGCAGAGTCTTTCCCACCTTTAGGCAAAGGGAACTGGGTCTTTGAGGCAAAGAGAGATCATTGTTTGGGTTTATTATTGCTGAATAATGAGCCACCTGAAAATTTAGAGCCTTAAAATAATAACAGTCTATGATTGTTCACAATTCTGTGGGTTGACTGGGCTCAGAAAGGTAGTTCTTCACTACCATATGATGTCAACTAAAGCTGCAGTCATCTTAGGACCCAGCTGGGCTGGAACATCCAAGATGGAGTGCTCACGTGTGTCTGGCAGGGAGGGCTAGTAGGCTGGAGCCTACTGGGCTGTGGAACATTGGAACTGCTCTCATTCTCCGTGAAGTTTCAGTGCTCTCCCTCCCCGTGTGCTTTCTCCAACAGGTAGCCGGACCCCTTACATGGTAGCTCAGGGCACCCCGAAGTAAGCATTCCCAGGGGAGGAAGTGGAAGCTGCCAGTCTCTTAAAAACTAAGCTTGGAACTGGCACAATGTCATTTCCACCATATTCTATTGATTAATTCAAATCAGGCTAGCCCAGGCTGATTATGGGAGAAGACTATACCAATGTACGAATATCAGGGGCCTGGTCATTGTGGGCCATGGATCATGATGGGAAGAGGGCAGGACATAAACTCCCAGGCACCTCAAGTTCCAGGGCAGTCTTGGGAACAAAGTCATAGCATCAGCTGTTAACTGCAACGTGTTTTAAAATATCGGTTTTATTACTATTCAGGTATGGTGAGGCCAACAGATTACAAGATAATTACTATTGAAAAGATAGTTTGTTATTCTCACAGATCCCAAAGGAAGGGGGCACGCCAAGCTATACAGGGCTCTGTGAGGAAGCACCGAGGTTGGTCAGGAGGTAGAGGCAAAGAGGAGAACCTTGGGCAAGAGTCTTTCTTTTGGTTTCCTCAGGAAGGAATAGATGACCAAGGTAAGTTTAGGATTGCCTAGTTGAATAATTTCAGCAGGCTCTGGGGTGGGGGAGGGGCTGCCCCCAGTCATCTGGAACTTGGTCCTGGGGTGATTAGGCAGAGGAACAGTAGCCAGAAGTATAAGAGCTCCATACAGGAAGTGGTTGGGGGTCTAGGCTCCGGGTTGGTTGGCTTGTATATGAAAGGCATGTTTAAAAGTGAGTCCTTGATTATCTTTAGGCACTGGCTAGCCCAGGGAGGGGCGGTCCCTCCAATGTCAGCAAGGCCCAGACATCAAAGTGCCAGAAATACAGACGCAAAAAAGGCATGATTAATGCATAAAGCATGCAGAAGCTGGGTGTTGGGTGCACAGAACTGGTAAGAGGAATCTGAGAGGACCTGGGCAGGCCACCAATGGTGTCCACTACAACTGGGAATGTGCAAGTGGGATTAATTATGTTACAGCAACTAGAGTCAGCGACTTCCCCTGTCTTGCTGTCACGTCAGTTTCCTCACCTGTACCTACAGTCTGGTGAGGATGAGTGTTCACCGAGACTGTCCATGAACTAGACCTGGCATGTGACGTGTGCTGATAAATATTGCTGATGATTGACAATTCTAGTGTCTCAAAGTATATAAACTCTGATGGACATTAAAGATCCAAGGTAGAAATAGAAGGGAACAAATGTTTGTTACCATGAGGCAAAACAAACAAACAAACAAAAAAATCTTTGCTGTCTTCCAAACCAATCAGGTCAAATTTGTCATCCTTACTTTCCAGATGAAATACTTAAAGATCAGAGAAGGGGAGTGACCTGCCCAATGTCACACAGAGTGGGGTTTTAAATCAGATTAGTAAATTCACAGCCTGTGCCCTCAGGGTTGAAAAATCAAAGAGCCTCAATCTCTGCTCTGGTGAAGCTCAGACATTTGCAAAGAAAGAGTCCCAGTGCAGGCTGATAAGCATTTTCTTGGTAATGGTATGAGGGACAGCAGGGTCAAGATTCCTAGAAAGTACCAGAAGCTGTGGGGGAATGGGACAGGGTAGTCAGAGAAAGCATTTTTGCTAAGACTCAAAGGATAAGGAGGAGCTGGTCAGAGGAACCCCCTGGAAGACAACATCCTTGTAGAAGGAGAACACTCAGAGGCTTGAAGGTGTGAAGGGCGCTGCCACATGGGGAACCTTGTGAGGTCAGGGTTCCTGGAGGAAAATGTGGGTGTTGGGCTGGGTCTTGCAGGACCCTTCATGTCAGGCTGAAAATTGGTGGGAAAGGGTTGCAGCCAGCCCTGGAAAGATCAGAAGGGGCCAGGCAGGGCTTCCTCTGTCTCTATTTCCCTGCTGACACTTATCTACCTGTACCTTCAAATCAGCCTCTTCCCGTCTCTGCCTGTCTCTGTCCTCCTCCATCTCTGTCCCCGTCTCTCCCATGTCCAGAGGAGGGCAGCCTTGGGCTGAGAGCCTGTGGAGCCTGTGTGGAGTCCCAAAGAGAGTCAGGGGTAGGGGAGGCTAGGGATTTTCTGGAAGGTGGAGATCTGAAAGACAGGCTCTGGCTTGGGTGGAGTGTGCAGTTTTGAATCCAGAGCTTGAGGAGACAGGCTTAGGTCCTGCACGCTCCACAGCCTGCCCCCCAACCCTTCTCCAGACCTTTCAGTCCCTTCCCTCCTGCCTCGGATGAGAGGGCTGGGCCTCTCCCAAGGGAGGGAGCAGGGGAAATGACGGCTGGACCTATGGGGGCACTGGAGAAGAATGTCAGATGGGGATCCCAACCCCACGCCCCACCGAGCTGCCACCCCATGATTTCAATGGAAACATGTAAAAGACAAAGAATATATTTGACAAATTACCCAGGGTACCAATGTATCTAATAGACATATTCCCCAGAAGGGTACATTCATATTCATTGGGTAGAATGGAGAAGAATGTATTTGTTTGCTTTTCTCCCCCTCGTTGCTCCCCCTCCTTCTCTTCTTCTTCGTCTTCTCTCCCCACCCGCCCCCACTCTCTCCTTCCCTTCTCTCTGTTACCACATATCCAGTCACTGCTTCCAGCTGCTGACTTCTACTCTGTCTTTTACCTCCACCTCCTCTGCTCTATCAGTGGTGACCACCCCCCAGCTCCCAACTCCACTAACCACCCGCGATCCTCATCCTCATCATCTTCCACCCCATCATCCTCATCCTCCTCTTTGTCACCATCAAGCACAGGCCCTTAGGGACCTGTGGGAGAATTTCTCCAGGAATCACACCCAGGAGTGTGTTGACACAGAGGCAAGTGCCACAGTGGTTGAGTCTCATCTCTGGTGCCAGATCAACCTATGTGGACTTACCTCTACATCAGTATCTACATGGCCTAGGGCAAGCCATTTAGCCTCTCTGTGCCTCAGTTTCCTCATCTATATAATGGGGACAAGGGTAATAGTACTCTCTATGTGGGGTTGGTGCGAGGAATAAATGAGCTAGCCTGTGTAAAGTGCTTAGAACAATGCCTGGCATAAAGCAAGCACTTGTTAAGTGTCAGTGATTGTGTCAGGATTGATGTGACTTCTACTCCTCTGCCAAATGGCTGTGCCAACCCTCGTGACAACCATGAGTGCCCAGGGATTGCCCTGCCCTTGGTGTTGTCCAGCTTTCTCATTTTCAGTCTGTCTGGCTGTTACCTCTTCTTTCTCTCAAATCTTGTTTATCCCTGAGGTGGATGATGGGGACTCTCAGGCCCCAGGCAGCCCAGTGATGAGGACCCCAGAGCCCAGGCAGGGAGGGGTTACGTGACTGAACTGGGGGGAAAAGAGGGAAAGAGAATCATCAGGATTCACACTCTCTTCCCCTTGGGCAAACCCCTTCAGTGCCAAACCTTCATTCAGACTTTGAGCCCAGCCTCTCCCTAGCTGCGGATCCCAGACAAGCACTTCTCTCTGACCTCATAGATGACCCGGTTCCAAGGTATTTTCCCAAGAGACATGAAAACATATGTTTGCATAAAGACTTGTACACAAATGTTGATGACAGCATTATTCATTATAGCTCTAAACTGGAGAGAACTCAAATGTCCGTCAAGTGCTGAATAGATAGGCACCCCGTGGGACATCCACACAGTGGAATACTACTCAGCAGTGAAAAGGCAGTGAATGATTGATACCTGCAAGAACATGAATGAATCTCTGAAACATGATGCTAAGTGAAAGAAGTCAAACAGAAAAGATTAAATGGGGAATGATTCTCTATGTAAAGTTTTAGAAAAGGAAAAACTAAAGTGACAGGAAGTGTAACTGAGCAGGACCCAATGGGCCCTTACTGGGACAGGACCCCCGACCCCCTACACCATGTCCTCTGCCTGCCTATTGTTTGTAGAAAACTTTGATCATCTTAGGTCTTCCTCGTGTTCCCAAGAATAAATGTAATCAGAGAAGTGACAAAATGCATAAGCAAAGGAAAACAAGCAAGACAAAATAGTAAGAGTTTAGCCCTTAAACAAACTCAAGAACTTTAAGTTTCTCCTCAAAGGCTATAGATAATTTTCTGAGCCATGTCCTTTGAGCTGTTTTGCAGATACTGAAACCCCCACCAGGTGGAAGAAATCAACTGTATTCTGCCCACAGGCACATAGACCTCAGGTGGGTTGGGTTGGAAGCACAAGGTTGATGATGTTGGCTCCGATTACCTCACCACCAACCAATCAGAAGTATGTCCAGAAGCTGATCATGCACTCAGCAGCACCACCTCTCCACCCCCATCTTTAAAAGCCTTTCCCTGGAAGTCATCAGGGAGTTTGGCTCTTTTAAGCACTAGCTGCCTGGACTTCTTGTTTGGCATTTGCATTCCACGCTGCACAGTCACTGCCCGTTCCCTCCCATACCTCTCCTCTGAGGTACGGAGGGCACCACTAATCTACTTTTTATCTCTGTGGACTGACCGCTTCTGGACATTTCATATGAACATAACGGTGGTCCATTGTGTTCATCTTCTTTCACTCAGCTTCGTGTTTCACAGGTTCACCCATGGTTTAGGGTGTATCAGGGTTTCACTCCTTTTTAAGGCTGAATAACATTCCATCCACCATATTTTGTTTCTCCCTTCCACAGTTGATGGACAACTGGGTTGTTTCCCCTTTGTGGCTATTTTAAAGAATACTACTAACTAGTGGGTGAACACTATTATATATAAATTGTGTTTCAATAATGCTGGGAAATAAAGATCAAGCAGAATGAAACTATATATTTTTTTAGAGATATATCCAGAAATGGTAAAAGAATGAAGAAAGATAGGAATATGTCAACAGAAGTGAGAGTCACCATCAACTGCAGTGGGGAGAGAGAGGCTTTCTGGTTGTTTCTGGAGCCCAACAGCATCCCAGGTGTGCAGTAAAGGGTTAACTCAACAGTCTTGGGGTGTTCAAGCCCTGCACATTCCAGAGAAAGGAGTGACCCATGACCAGCTCCTGGGGTATAACCTTTAAGCCCTTGGCATGCTCTACCTGACATTTTACTATTTTTGTTTACTTGGGACCTTGGACCACACGGTATCAACTTGATTTCCAGAAGTGCTGGAGACAAGTAACTAAGGTCAGCCACACGGGCACCCAGCCAGTCCTGCATGACCGACCCCCAGGAAAATCCCTGGACACCAAGGCTTATGTGAGTTTCTCTGGTTGACAGTACTTAATATATCCTATCCTACATTATTGCCAGGAGAATTAAATCCTGTTCATATGACTCCACTGGGACAGGACAACTAGAAGCTTCCACCTGGTCTCTCCTGAGCTCTACCCTGTGCACCTTTGCTGATTTTAATCTGTATCTTTTTACTGTAATAAAACATAACCATGAGTATTGCTTTGGTGAGTTCTGTGAGTCCTTCCAGCAACTCATTGAACCTGAGAGCGGTCTTGGAGTGACCTGACACACCAGGTCTTAACCTGGATAGGAATTTCTGCTCTGTTATTCTTTATACCATGCATTTTATGAATGTTTCACATGTATGATGTTAGAATTTAAAAATAACAATCAGGACTTCATAACTAATACAAGATGGCAAATAAAGAAAGGAAAATTAAAAATAAAATTTCTGGGTTGGGTTGATGCTGAAGACTTGGTGTGGCTGATGAGAAAACCTGCAAAGTGAAGAAGTTCTAAATTCACCTTAGTTTTGCATTTGAGAACCTGAGGGCAGCCTCTCACTTAGCAGACTGACTTTAGAAGAAGTGATAAAAAAGGTTAAAACAGATCTCACTCAGAGACACGTAATTGAAAAAGGTGCCTTTTTTTCCAAAGAAGTTGGAGAAAAATTTAGAAAATGGTAATATCCAACTTCGGCAAGACTGTGGGTGAATGGGTGTAGACAGACTATAATTGGAGTTGGATAGAATTTAAGTTTTTCAAAAGTGCACCATCATTAGTTGCCAGATATGTTACAGTAGCCTTCCTTCTTATTGGTCTCTATGTCTCCACCCTTGCCCCTACAGCCATGTCTCTACATAACAGCCAGAAATGTCCACACAGCAAATCAGATCATATCACCTCTCTAAGTAAAACCCTCTGATGGCTTCCCATTGGTCTTAGAATGAAACCCAAAGTCCTCAGCAGGGTCAACAAGGCATTTTATGGTCCCACCCTGTTAACTTCTCCACCCATACCTGTCTTGATGTGTTCCAGCCACACTGGCCTCATTTCACTCACACAAATAACTGGACTTCCTCCTGCCACAGGGCCTTTGCACATGACATCTCAAGTCAGGTGGGGAAGTTCATGTTGGCCTTTTTCATGCCGAAGTCATAAAAGTTTTTGCAAATACAGAAGGTAATTGTTTTAGTTTGTTCCAGTTATTGACGGTTGCATAACAGACTTTCCCAAAACTTAGTGGCATAAAACAGTCACATTATTATGCTCAACACAATCTGTGAATCAAGAATTCAGATATGGTTTCTCTCTGCAATATATCAGGTGCCTCAGCTGCATCA